TTTGTTTTGAATTAAAATTTTCTGCTCAATTTATTCAAATTATTTTAAATATTTTTACTTTTATTTTCTTTATAGAAAAAAAAAAAATTTCCCAAATTGAAATGTTTTCATTCACTACATTTGAATATGATGCTCTAATTGTTCCATTACTTTGTCAAATGATAAATCTCGATGAATTAAACTCTATATCTATCAATTGGAAGGATGTGACTTGTCTTATATTGATGCGATTCAATTATATGATCAATTTCTTATTTATATGAGACATTTAAACAAATTTACATTTAATATCAAGAACAAGATCTATAGCGATAACGTTAGAATTGAACTTCCATCGAATGGAGATATTCAACGTTGTTTTATCGGAAGAGGTTATCAAAAAGTAGCTTCATATGTTAATATTAACTTATTTACATGCGAAAATGAATGTCATATCTATTCACTTCCATATGACTTCGAATATTTTGTTGATCTCAAGAATTTGTTTCAAAGTGGCATGTTTTTATAAAGTTCGATAATTAAAGATGAATGATAGAATTTCTTTTGAACATAAATTATTTAAACTCATTTCCTCAAGACTTTCCTTTTCTCGAATTCTTCCATGTATATAATGATGATCCAGAAAAAGACAAGCAACATTAATCACATATCTTAACCTGAAATATGCATATGTTAACTATGCTGAATTATTTCTTTTGGAAAAAATATGTATCTATCTCGTTTGATCAATCTGTGCATGAAATACAAATCACTTACAATTATAACCAACAATTTTACCAATGATGCAACACATTTTAATTTCGGTAAATTCAAAAGTCTTGATGTATGTCAACCATTTGTTCGTTCCAAAAAATTTTTCACCAATATTTTCCTTTGTTATGAATTGTTTCAATAAAATAAAATATGTGAAAAAAACTAAATATTTTTCATTTATATTATACTGCAACAAAGAACACGAGAATAACTACTTAGATAGTTTTCAAGTCTCACTCGACTGCAAAATCCGATGCAAAGTGATTCAAACGTCCATTAATGAGAAATCGTATCAAACGAATTGGCATATTTATGATTGAATACGAACGATTCTATTTCGAAAAGTATTTCTAGTCTATACCATCTAGTTCTTTTTCCTGTCAGTATAATGAATAATATTGAATATCAATCAAAAAGTCGAACTTGAAAAAGTACACATTATCATATTGATTACTATGAGAACTCTTTCAATGAATATTAACTCATTTCTAAAGAGCACTATCGATTGAACATTTTAATATCCGTATGATTTATTATCTATTGTCAGCTGCAATATATTAAATCAGATGTGGAAGCAGAATTGTAGCTAAATTTTCGTGTAATGATTTGTCAGACCCCAGATGACTCAGACTTTTGTCGTCAGATTTGAAAGTTGTTTATGCACTTGATTATATAGTTTTGATGCATTGATCTCTGTACTATAAGAGTGCGGGTGAGGATTGGTATGGGTGTGGATGTGTAGGTGTGTGGATGTTTGGATAAAGGGGAGATACACTCACCCACACACTTTCATTCTATGATCGAATATATATAAAATGCAGTTCAAAATATCATTAATTCGACAATGGTTTCACATTGAATGAACGTAAAGTCAAACAAACTTTAATTCAACTTTCCTTTTTGAATTTTGTTGGTTTTATACTTTGAAAAATACGTAGACCGGTTCTAGTGCTCTCTCCAATACGGAACTTACGCTGATGTACCGATCTGAGTAGAAGATACACCATGTTTGTTCAGTGTATATCCTATCAATGGAATGAGTATTTAAGCTAGTGATGGATATGTCTCCAATGAAAGACAAACCGAACTCTTGCTTCTTTTCTGTTTCAGCAATCGTTCGAGATGGACGAATATGAAAATTTATATAAGCATATTCACACCTACAATTATACAGTTTACTTAGGTAGTTTCATGCTGATATACACAACAATGAGAATGATAGATCAGTTAGATATTCACAATTAGAATGATGAGATGATCATATAAGAGACATGGAAAAAGTCGTACGATGCGACTAAAGAGTATTCAAAAATGGAGATTTTATTATTAGAGATTTTTAAATTAATCATAGCGTATATAATATATAATAATTAGTGAGGATACATGATTTTATCATCTAGATTCAAGGATAAAAAGGATATGAAATGTTTAGATGGGTTAAAACTGATCCATTATCAAGCAAAGTTCATTTAAAATAATTAGATATATCATTAATCGATGGTTGCTTCATGTAATCGAATTTGATAACTGAATAGATTATACGAACAAACCAGAAACAAGCAAGAAAACCGATTGTACCTAAATAAAATTTAATTAAATAGATTATACAAAAATATTTAACTTACCGGTTAATAAAAATAAACTAAATGTTATCATTAATGTATAACCAAAATAAAAAAATCTTGATATACCATCAGATATTTTTAATTCAGTCACAAAATAAAAACCTGAATAGAGAAAGACATAGACAGCTGTAAAACCCGATGTTAAAAATGAACGCCACCACCAATTATAATCCTACAAAAATCAAAAATTTAAGTTTTTTTTATCAAATAAAATGAAATTTTACCTCAGTACATAAATGAAAATAGC